CATGCACCTTTTCATACACTTGCACACAAACACTTGGATTTTTCATACAATTTCACACGTTCACCTTTTTATACACTTGCACACTTGCACTTTAGCCATCATTTGCATTAATCGACCTCTATAAGGTTTTCCTTTGTTGGCCGCCACAATTCATGTGGTTGGGACCAAAAACCTTACAAGAGACATTTTAGAATTTAGGTTTGCATTTTTTCCTTCTTTTTGCATTCATGTAGTGCATCCAAATGTAATAAATTCTTTGGTTAAAACAAGAAAATCTTTGATTAAATCATGCAACTAGCCTTGGCTAGGTCAAAGGGGTGCCTTGGATTTTATCCTTGCCTTCCCCTTTGTCAAATGTGACTCCCGAACCTTTTTCTTTGGTTTACGTAGACTAGGAGTCGTTTAAAAAGGGTTTCTCACTACTTTTTCCTATTTTTCTTTAAAAATACATTTTTTAGGTGACTTGGTACACCTTAACTCATTACCAAGTAGCGACTCCGTATTTAGCTTTAAAAACCCTTTTTAAACTATAATTTTGGGTCAAATCGTCACATTCTCAAAACCCCATTTAGACCCATTTTTCTTTTAAATCACAATTCATATTCCAATCACAAAAAATACATTTTTAAAACCATTTATTTATTTATCAAAAAATGGGGCGCGACACATCCGACAGCTTTCGTCGAATTTGAAGGATTCTATCGGACGTCCGGTACTTCCGTCCAATAGTAGACAAAGAGTTTGAAGGATTATTTCAATTCTATCGGACGTCTGGTATTGTCTTTGTGAGTGTCCGACAGCTTTCATCTTCCTTTTTCTTCTTTCAAATGCTCTTGTCTTTGAATCAAATTGTTTCAAAGTTGAAAGGAATTTTTAGAAAAGATACTAGTACTATCAAATTGTTTTGTAAACATCAAAGATAGGAATCAAGATCAATACAAATTTGCTAAGTTGCATTGCCAGTTCTTCCTTGTCCAACTTCTTCTGTCTTAAGATTTTTTCCATTTTTCCTTCCCATCCCCTTATCGTCCTCTAGAAATTTACTAGTTTGTAATTCCCTCAATTATGAATATTGATCTAATTTATTGGCCAAGGACTTTTTATGGTTGCAAGAGCAATTAGAAATCTAGATCAGGTGTGGTGGCTCCTATATATCGATTGCAAAACTGTTATTCAAAATTAGATTTGCATAGGCCAAATCCAAACGACATTGCCGGACTACTAATTGCTCTGCCATCCATCCTAATGTGTCATGCTTTCTCATAATCTATATATTGTATGATTATTATCACATTACCCTCTTAACGTTTGGTGCTATTATCAATTTCCTTCTTAACGTTATCTTTTAATCATTTTACTTCCAAAACTAATGGTCAAATTTAACGAAATTTGTTAATTAAAGTGAAAAGACATGTTTAATCATTAAAATTATTATCACTGTACCCCCATAAAATATAGTTTTATTATCAATTTACCCTCTAGAATGATTTTTTACATAATTTATCCTACCATTAAACCAACTTAGCAAGTTAAAAAATTTTAGTAGAAAATACCCTCCTCTTTGCATAATAAAAATAATAAAAACATTTAGACTGACTCTTCTCCTTTTTAGTATCAAGAAAAAAGTCAAAGTATTAATTTTTTTCTTCCTGACAATCTTATTAATATTGAAAAAAATAGAAAGATGGAGAGGGGGAAGGGGAGAGAGAGAGCTCAATTCTTTTTTTAAAAATTACAAATAAGAAGAATTAAATACTTTTATTATTTTAAAATTATTTCATATTTTTGTTTATCGCCAAATTTCAATTCTAATCCTGACGACCTTAAAGTAATACGATAATGTTAGACTTATTTTATTTTATTTTTTTGCAAAATCTAATTTTTTGTCTCGTTCTTCCCTATCTCCTTTTCTTTTCATAGTATTAATAAGTGTGAAAAATGAAATTTGAGAAAATCCTTTTATTTTATATTTTTCGATCTCTTAAAGTGAAAAAAAAGGAAGAATAACCATTCCAACTTTTTTATTTTTAATTATATATAAAAAGGGTAAATATATTTAAAATTTTTTGACCATACTAGTTAGATTAATGATGAGGTAAAATGTTTATAAAATAATATTAGGAATTAAAGTGATTGTATCACTATAATCCAAACGAATAAAATGATAATAACAATGTAGTAATGTTATAAAATAAAAGGATATTTTTGTCCAAAATTTCTTAACATGTTGAGTTGAATTACTTATGGGGGTAATGTGATTAAAAGATAATGTTAGGGGGTAAACTGATAGTAGTGATATAGTTTAAGGGGGTAAAGTGATAATAACCCTATATTGTATGTTTAAAGATGACTTTTCAATCTGAAGCTCCTATCAAGCCTCCAGCTCCTCATTCTATTTTTCTATAATTTTAAATTATTTTTTCATAATAAATTCTTTTAAACATTCGAATAGATACTACCACAATTGCATCACTTAGACCTTATTTGATAACCCAATTCAGTACTTAAACTTAATGGATTCAAATCTTAACATGTTCATACGCATTTAATAACCAAAAAATTGAACATTTGAATTCATTAACTGACACTAAATTTTCTAGGTAAAACTTGCTCCTAAAAATAAGTGATAAGTTATTCACTTATCATTTAATGTGATATACATTCAAATGTATCAGATTTAGGCACTGTTTGTAATTGAATCCAGCACTTAAATTTAATGGATTCGAATCTTAACACGTTTAGATGCGTTTGATAATTAAAAATTGAACATCTAAATTAATTTAGTGGCATTGAATTTTTTAGCAAATTTATTCCCAAAATTAAGTGATAAATTATTCACTTATTACTGAATGTGATATATACTGAAGTCTATTAGATTTAATAATTAACAATTCAATATCTTAATGGATTCAGACTTCAGATTTTAAATTTTAGATTTCAGTTTTCAAACTTTAGTTTTATCAAATGCATCCTTAGTACTTTCTTTTTTGGATCAAAAGTTTTTTTTATTAATTTAAAGTGATAAAGCTACAGAGTAGTGTTAGAATGAAATAAAACTAGGAGTACTACTCCTTTACATTCAATGCCTAGAATGAATATAAAGGAATTGACTAATATCCAAACATGAGATGTCCCTCACTCGTTTAGGTAGAGTTGCAGCATCTTAAAGCCCAGAATGAGGGGAAGTTGCTGCTTGTTTTGCAAATGCGTCAGCTGCCGAATTGATCTCCCTATAGCAATGTTCCAAAATGAACTCTGCTTTGGTTAGTACATGTTGTATTCGTCTAATGACGACATCAAGTCTCCATGGTGAATATGAAGATTGTTTCACAGAGCTGAGCAACTGCATTGAATCTATTTGCACAATCACTTTTATTAATCCCAAACGTATGCATAATTGAAAACCTTCCAAAAGAGCCATAGCCTCCGATTCCATGTTTGTATGACATCAATAGAAGGAGAAGAAAGCTCCCTTCACTTGGCCATTATGATCCTTATAATGCCCCCTCCTCCTAAATAACCTGGGTTCCCGGTAGATGAGCCATCAATATTCAAATTAACGTATGGGAAGAGCGGCAAAGACCAAACTAAAGTAATGCACATTTTTGGTCTTGGGTGCTTGAAAAATTGTAGTAATCCAAAGTACAACGGCACTACAACAAAAATGACCTTTAACGGCATTTAAAGGTGTCAGTATAGATAATCTAACCTGACACTTTACCTTTCCTCACACCTCGGATGAGTGTCGTCCCTTCCAATATGGGGATAGGCTCGGAGCATTCAAATGTGTTAGGAATATTATGCTGTTATATCGTCCCATCTGCCAACCAAAATCTCTTTTTTAGATAATCGAAAGTGTCAAGATAGCTGTAGTACCACATTAAGATAGCTGAGCTATGCTGGCACTTTTAATTGTCAGAAGTTTTTTTTTTATATAGAAGCAACCTGCAGGTAGTGCTCCTTACTATACATTCCATCAATCAGAAACCCAAAGGACTTGTAAAATTATCCCAAAGAGCAAAATGCATATAGTAATTTAAAAACAAAAGTCAATGCTCAAATATAATTTGTTGAACTAAAAGTCGGTAACAAGTACTAACATAGTCAGTACTAAAATCCCAAACAAGTACTAAAAGATTCTCATGTGCACAAACTTGAAAGACTCTCTTTCTACCTTAATGCTTATTTAAGGTGCTCCTATTCGTAGCTGGCTGATATTCTACCAGTAGACAAGCTTCAAGCAGCCTCAAAGCAAATCTTCAGTTCCAGTCAATTTGGCAAATTCACTTTCATTTATAGCACCCCTTTTTAGCTTTTTCAATAAGCGGTATTCTTGTGCCATCTCGTCATCATCCTCAACTGATTGAGCGGTCTTTGCCTGGCTATTCTCTTCCTCATTACAGTGGATGTAGTGGTTGAGGCTGCTTTTGGCTTCTGTACCTTCTGTTGTTGTTCAGCTGCTTTTTTTGCCTGCAAGTTATTCTTTCTTTGTTTCTCACGAGATTTCTCCCTTTATAATGGATTTATCGATTATCTAGTGCCCTATATACTAAAAAAGAGAGTCCAGTGGGACAATTAGCATGGTCATTCTTGTTTGAATGATTCAGGATACTAAGCTTAATTTTTAGCATCAACCAAGTAAATACAACAACAAATTTCACTAGAACATTCATACAGTAGCATCCTAAATTTCTCAATGTGTGTTGATAACTAGCATATTCAAGTTGTTGCCTCAAAAGGATCCAACTCTCCTTTGATGAGATGAGGCTAATAAAGCCACAATTGGGTGGCAGACCCAAATATATAGTTCTTGACTCCATGGGCAGGACTAGGTTATGCTAACATTTCACATCCCCACCCTGCCCTCCACCCAGAAAGAAAAAAAATGAAAAATCCCAAAGCCAAAGGGAAATTCCATAACTAAAAGAGCAAAACGATTAACTAATAGCAAGTGTGTCAAATCCTATGAAGTAAGCTGAAAACTTTGAGATGATTCTTACTTGTACTTGATCTCATCAAGGCATATATCTTCAAGTGGTGTAAAACCCTCAGTAGAAAGATTGTGATGCTCTAGGTTATGCATTGCAGGGAGCTGCAATAAAGCCATAACCCATGCCCAATTTCCCAATCTCAAGTTCTTTCCACTTGCAGAAAGGAACAATGAGTCTTCCAAGAAAAAACAAGATTCATATGGAGCGTATACCATAAAATTCACTAGCCTGAATATATTGGAGCAGTGATGCTCTTTGTATGCACGGATGTAGGAAACAAAAGCTCTAAGCCCTTTTTCCATGACATCACGATCCTTTTTTGCAGCTGACCTTATCTGTAAAATGCAATTCCAATCATTTTATTGACACCATAAGCCAAAGTGTATCTAAGATACAGAATTAATGGTGAGGTATTTTCCACCAAACAGATCAAAGTTATGTTTAAGCTGCAACTCACTGTTACTCATGGCACCAAAGCAAGGATTAGTATTGGCCAAGAATCAATATATTTGAAGACATCAGGTGCTGGAAAATTAACATAGTTAGATGTGGCTAGCATCATAAAAGGAAATCTGAAAGCAGGGGAATGTATGTTTTTGTCATAATTTACACTACATTAGATGATAACTAAATGCTTCACTTGGCTCCTCCTCATTTTCCTCTCCTACAACAAAGCCATATCATTGGTGGTACCAGGATTCAGCAAAGAGGTACACATGCTCACACATATACCCAAACCTATGTAAACTAACATCGAGAGAAGAAACTTTAAAGTAAAGGAGCCATCAAGCAGAAACTCTACATAAGGTATTCCAGACACAAGCCTTTTTGTATGAGGTATTTTCATAAATAACTAGCACTAAATAGCCTCACACAATTACCTCCTTCGACCCAAAAAAAATCCACTCTCTCCAGCAATACACACATGCATGTAGAAAAGGAAGGGGATGGTCCTTTCTATAAAGGCTAGAAATGCAAAAATGAAAAGAATAAGATTCAAACATAAGCTCATGAAGAACCTGTGGGACAATATCACAAACTTCATCTGGGCTTTTTCTATCTTCAAGTGGAACCCTCCTTACTCGAAGGAACTCAACATATGCTTCCTCCTGTTCAAACATACAGGAAAGAAAGCATTCAACTATAAAGCACTTCATAAATGATGTTCTGCAGAAAGCATAAACAAGACATACAAGTCATACAACAAATGCCAAACCTTTGGTAACAAAAACACAATAGCATTTCCTTGCCATCCCAACTTAGTTGTTCGTCCTACTCTATGCAATTTTAGAAGACATAAATAGCCTTTGTAATCTAGCTTTTAAGGGAAAATGCCACAACATTAAAAGAAATTCAGAAAAAAAGGAAAAATAGGGGGAATTGACATTTTATCGAACAGGTTATGGACAACAGCTTCATTGTGTTTAGCACTTTTTTTTAACAACATATGCCAACCTCTTCCCTCTTTGCCAATATTGAACTCCAATCTTTTAACTTTTACTCCTTGCCTACCCTTCCAGATGTCTTAACTATCGCATGGCTGCTTGTCTTTGTTTGGTTGTTTATAATCAGTCTGATTTTAGCTTAAAAATTTACTGTTTTTCGGATTGCAGAAAGTGTCAGTATTACCAACCAAACGGAAGCCTGGCAAAGAAACAATACAGGAGAAATTTAGCTGAGGGACAACTGTTGAAGTTAGAATAGATAAAGATGGTTTTCAAGGTGCTTGGATTCTTGCAACTGTCATCAAACGATTTGACGAGAACAAATACCTGATTCAGTATCGGAGTCTGACAAACGAAGAGGACACAGAATTCTTGAAAGAGGATGTTGCTAGTATAAACATACGACCACATCCACCGAGATAGCTTGTATAGACACCAAATTTTTAATTTAGTTTTATTTATTATTATTTTTATTTTCATTGATTAAATGTTAATTGTTATTCATTTTTTAGTCTCTTAGTTTTTATTTTAAGACATTTTTAGTATTTAAATTTCAGAAAAAAGAAAATTTCCACAAAAAGTTGTTTTAATCATTTTTTGATTCAATTTGAAAAATATATATAATTTTGTTTCTTTACTTAAATTAATTTTTGAAAGAAAAAATAAAAAAATAAGGAAAAATGTGTGAATAGGTGTAAGCTTACATGTGGGACAAGTGTCCCTTTGTGTCTTTGACAACACAACATCTAGAAGGTGAGGTGTTGGGACACTTGGTTGGCTTAGGTAATTTTGGGGAGATAAAAAATCAAAAAAAGCAAAAAAGGAAGCAAGAGCTGTCGAGGGGGGGCTTCGGCTAAAGAACACAGAAAAGAAAAAGAACAAAAAAGAGGGAAAAGGAGTGAAAACAGAGGACAAGAAAAGGGGGGGATTGAAGAGAGAGCTTAGGAGCAAGAAAACAGAGCAAGGGAAAGGGAAAATTTGAAAAATTGGGAAAGAGCTTCGGAACAAAAACGAAAGAGAGCAAGAGTGATAGAGGGAGAAAGGATGGAAAAAGCTAGGAAAACAAGAAACCAAACAAAGGAAAAGGGCGGCGGACGGAGAGGTTGAAGCTTGTTGCCAGTTCCGGAATTTTCCATTACTACCTGCAAATTTTCACCGAGAAAGTACTATAAGTCATCTTCTTCCTTTAAAAATTTCATTTTTCTCTTCAAGCTCAGATTTTCGAAGCTCTCAAAGCACGTTTTTTTCTTTCTAAATTGGTTCATTACGATGTTTTACTGATTGTACATGATGTTGGAATATGGATATTTTATATGTTGATTGGAGTTGAAATCCCTTTTGTTGCTGACAATTTTGAGGCCGATTATAGTTTCAATGGAACAAAGCATTGATGAAGTTTCTAATACCCCTAACCTGTTTGATAAAATGCCCAAACAAGAATCTCGAACCAAAAGAGTACATCTTATGCATTTTCTGTTTGCATTCAAGAGGAACCTGGCCAGTCCAAAGCTGGCTAGAACCTGTGCGTTTCACCAGTTGGGGAGGGGAGAGAAACCAAATGATTTTTTGAGTTATTTTTTATTGTCGCTGCCTCTTGTATCTTGCAATGGTGTGATGTTTTGCCCCTGTAAAGCTGTTGGATTTTTGAAGCATCAGAGGTTGCAGAAGCTTTTCCTTTTCAGTTGCATCGAAGAAGAAAGCTTCTGCGAAGCATGAAGCATAAATTTATGAAAATTTGCAATTTAACCCCTTAATTTTTGTCTAATTACACTGTGGCCCAAAAAGATAAAAAATCGAACTAATTTCACCCTTTTCAAGGTTAATCCTCTGTTTGCATATTTTATGTGACTATTTGGATAGATTAATTCTAGGATTTAGATCATAATTGTGGCTTAATAATTTTAGTGGATTTACTAATCTTGTTGGGTTTAGGATTATGGTTTAGGTTGTGGGTAATAATATTTGTTTGGGTTTGTAAAAGTGGGTTTAATTTATTTTGTTTGGGGTTCTGGTTTGGATTTAGGAGGTAAAAGCCCACTCTTTTGGTTAGATTCGTTTTGTTGGAAAGTATAGGCTAGCCCGTCTGTTTCGTTTGGGTCTCGGTTTAGACTAGGAGGGTTTTTGGCCCCAACAAATAAAGAAAAGGGCCCAATGGCCTGTTAAGTCAAGAGGTCTGGCGATGTTTTTTCATTCTAGTCCCCTAACTTTCGGATATTTTCACTATGGCCCTACAAGCTTTCAATTTCTTTTAATTGGGTCCTTAATTTAATCACAAATAGGTCCTTAAACTTTATTTTTCTTTAATTTTGACCCTAAAACTTTGTTAATTTTTGCAATTAAGTCCTTTCTTCTTTTGACTTCTTAAATGTGGGTTGTTTACATGATTTAATTGATTCAATTTCATATTTATTTTTATCTTTTGTGATTACTTATTAATTAAAGTGATGCCTTGACCTTTTCTTTGTATTTTGGAGGGTAAATAAGTAAATTTGTATCATTAGGGCTCCAACTCAAGGGAGGTACACTCTATCCCTTATTTATCATTTATTTGACCCTATGTGCACTTATGTGTTTTATGTGTGTAATTGCATGATTTTGCATGTTTTATTTTATTTTCATTCATTTATTTCTTTAGCTATTTAATTTTACTTTAATTTATGTGCTTATTCTAATGTAATTATTTGAAAGGCATTTAAATGCCAAAGTATGTAATAGTTAGGGATTTAATTATTTTATTCCTTTCCCCCCTCTTAGATTGTAGTAGGGCCCCCCTCAAATGTAATAGTTAGGGTTTTTATTTGCTTTATATTTGTCTTGTGTGGTGTGTTTTTGCATGTTTATGTGTTGCGTATTACTTGCTTTCTTAGGGCCTTGCATCTAGATACCATGCTTATGTGTTATGTGCTATATGTGATTTATGTGTTTATTTGCTTTATTACGTTTTACATGATTTATTTGATTATAATGAATGTATGACGTCACCACACTAGTCCAACGCTAGTTGTGGTCTCTTTTCCGTCACCATACTAGTCCAACGCTAGTTGTGGCCTTTTGTCCCGATTTTTCACTAGTCCAATGCTAGTGAGGACTTACAGATATAGGCTAGTCCAATGTTAGACCCTTAGGGACCTCCTATGCTAGATCATGTTTGTATGACTACATTAGATTCTCATGCATATTTTTCACTTTTAGGGTCTTTTATCATTTTTTGTATGACATCCCTCCTTATACGTATATCCCTTTTCCCATATTTTCCCTTATATGTATATTACTTTCTCCTTTGTATGACCATGACATTAGACTTGCATTTCATCTAAGCATTAGAATTAGGTTAGATCATTCGTTTGATTAGATAGGAAAACCCCATGTGTGAGAACCCGTATTTTTCCCTAATAATTTTCTTAGGATTTTTCCCATTTAAAGGCGTCATTTTTTTGCATTTTCTGGCTTAGGAAAATTATCCTGGTAAATTTTATGAGCAATTATAGTTTTTAGATAATTTTTCTAGTATTGGAGAGTTTTGAAAAATTAAGGATAAATAACGGACGTGGGACCCACTAGTGCGAAAAGTTCGGAAAAATTCGGCCAATAAGGTTAAGTTTCGGATACTGTGTAAAATTTATCGGGTGTTAAGAGATAAGTAGAGTGTGTGAAATGATTGATGTGAGAGAGAAAAAGAAGTGATAAGATTGCATTAATGAGGTGACAAGTGTCACCCTCTTATTGGTTTTACTTTAAGACTTACTATTCACTATTTTGACTTTTGACCAAATTGAGTAAATATCTTGAAAAATTGCTCAAAAATCACCATTTTCTTCTCCTCCATGGCCGGTTCTTCCTTGAGCCAAGAAGAAAGAAATTCTTCAACTTTCTAGCTTCCATTTCACTCAATCTTCCAAAACCAATCACATAAATTAGATTCTACTCCATAAAATCTATCCATTGGGTGCTAGTGAGTGGTCTAGTGAAGTTTGTTTGAAGAGCTAAGGTGTCCAACATCTCCATCTCTCTTGTTTACTTGGTAAGTGGTTTGTGACTTCCCTCTTATACTTAATAAAGCTTAAATTATGCTTAGTAGTGGCTAAAGTGATGGATTATGTGATTTATTTCTTGATTTGAAGAGTTTTGGTGAAGTTTTCAATTTTATGATGAATTTTCTGGTTTAATATGAATGGGATGTTGTGGCCATCTATGATGGTTGATAATGAGGGGTGATGACTCATGTGGGTGTGAATTGGTGATAACAGCAACTAATTTTGGCTTTGGAGTGAATTGTGAAATGTTAGGGTTTTTCAACCCCTAATTCTGTCCGGTTTTGGATCATAGGGTTAGAGGCCGAATTGGACTTTGCTCAAAACATGAAAGTTGTAGGTACTGATGAGTTTGAAGTTCCTGCAAAGTTTCAAGTCATTTGGATTTGTGTAGAGTGAGTTATGTCGATTTTACTGTTGCTGGTCTGGGTTGCTCAGAATGTGAAAACTGCGCTTGTAATCGTTTGTTTTGACTGGAATTGGTTTGGATTTTGAAGTTGGTGTCTTCTGATGAAATGTATCTGGATGCCTTAGCTAACATATACCTTTGGAATTTCGGCATTTGGACCTGTATAGACTGAGTTGTGTTCATTACAGCATAGTGCGATTTGGGAACCTGCAATTACAGTTTAGGTTGTGGTATTCTGTATATTTGGCCTAGTTGTGCTAGGATTTGGACTGAGTGGCCTTCTACATTGTTGTAGCCCTGTTCCATAGCTTCGAAACGGTGGGCCTTACACCCCTATCCGATAATCGTAGTGATATTGACGCCATTACCGCACAATAAGGGCAAAACAGTTTTTCTATTCGGGGCCAAGACTAATGCTATTTTTAATTTCTGGTTTGCTATCATGCTTATTTATGCATTTGAAACCCTATTGGGGTTATGTTCAGCATTGTTTTGTGACTCGTTATCGAGTCTCATTGTATTTGTTTGCTTGTTCTAGGAGGAAACGGTGGTGCACGACGTTCGTTTAACGACGGTGCATGAAACATCATTTTCTCACTTGGTGAGTATACTACTCACTTAATTGTTACTATGTGGCTTTGCTAAATGTATATGTGATGCCTTGAAGGCTTACTTGGATATTGGAATTGATTAAGGTGAGGGTGTACTTGACCGCCCTCACCCCTTTTGATAGTATCACTGATTAGCTACCGTTTTACTGCATTACTGAACCTGATATATTGGTTGGTGAATTCCATTTCATGGAAACTGCTTTGGTGTCGTTTGGACGAATGTCCAACGGCCTTACTGTATTACTGAGCTCAACCCCGTTTGGTAGTCAATTGGATCGAGCCGGCGAGGGCTTGGTCGTGAAAATTGTCATGCCACGGGGACTGTACTGAGGAACCTTGTAGTAATGAGACTCTTGGTTC